CAAATAGGATTTAATATATCTCATTAAAGCACGTTTTACTGCATTTCGCGCATTTTTTTACACGCGTAATTCTTGTAGAAACATCTTTACTCTGGTAAAATGGTAAAAACTTTAAGCACAAAATTTATGAACTTAATTTTGCGTAAAAATAAAGTAAAATTAAATAAGATTGATAGTACGCGATGCTTTGAAATAAATAAAGTAAAATTAAACAAGATCTGATAATTTTTTTTTAATTTAATGAACATTTTCAGGCAGTGATTTTCCAAACTATAATAACATTACAAAACGATCATATTTATTTGATTATATGATGATTAAATTATTAACATTAAAGTGGATTAGTTATTTTAATAATTCATAAAATTCGGAGCATAAAATTTTCTGAGCGTAATGAAGGAAAAAAAAAAGATAAAATAAAATCTAGAAGCACTCTTTTTTTAAAGTTTTGTGTCTTATCTATATTTATTGAATATCAAGTTCTTCACCCGTAAACCACACACATTTGAAAACAGCATAATTTTTAGAATTTCCGCACTGGAGATAAAACTGTTATTTTCCGTACAGTGCTCGCTCTGAACTCGTTCAGTTTGTTAATCAAAAATTCGTTAAAGTTTTACAAAATATGAAATAGATTAAAACAAATTCGAAATTCGGCCGTCCAGATGCCTATGTTCGGGTGGACGATTACATTATTCAAAATTTAATGGCTCTAGATACTGTCGTTTTGTCACAGTGCGAGAAACATACATGTATTCATGCAGATTCTTCATTATTTAATTTCTTTACATATAATACAGGGCGATAATATTTGGTAACAACAATTTGCGAGAAGAAACGGACATTTATAGTAAAACAGCACAAAATGCCGCTTCGAACCTAACAGCCTTTCTAGGCTACCGCCCCTTTGGGCTAATAAATTAAATTAACAGTAAATAAAAAAAAAAAATCTTTTGCAGAACTAAACATAAATTTAAAAAAATAATCACTATAAAATACAAGCAAAATTAATTATTACGGTTAAATACAATTTTAATATTAGAATTAAATGTATAAAAATTTTTAAGGAGTCAAAAGTGTTTATCACTATGATGTATTATGAAATATAACTGAAATAAAATTCCTTTATAGAATTGAATAAAATTGTGCTATAATACTTACCTATAATTTTAAAACAGCACAATTTAGAATTTTAAACAAAACTTTCAAAAATTCGTTTTTAAATATTTTAGTGTTTTTTTACTTATTTACATCAATAAAAAGCATAAAAATTGCAAGAGAAAATTTCTTGTTTGAAATTTTCTATTAGTTCAGGATTAAAATATTATTTTCTAAAAGTAGTAGTTACAAATTTCCTTACAGCATAGGAAAAGCGAAAAAAATATCCAGTCCTGAAAGCATGCAATAGCTTTATAATTATTTGGAACGTTAATTATGCTTGATAAATATGCTAAATTTTTAAAAATCAATCTCAATTTCAAAAATAAAAATATGTAGAAATTCTAATTTGTGAAATGAGGCGCTACAACCAGCTTTTTCTTGACAATTATACACGCTGCAATAGGCAACCAATGTTACATTTCTGCAAGTCGTCCCTACTCCTCCGGATGTTATCAAGGTGACAGCCGGCAACGCCTCAGACGAGGGAGAAAACCCGTTTGGGTTAGTCTATTTCTTATAAGGTCCATGGTATTTTGGCATTTACACTACGCGTACTTTCTATTTTTTCTTAAAAATAAAAATGAATTGTTTATTATTGTAAATTAATATCAAATTCTTTTACTTTAAATTTACATTTATAACATTTAGGCTTAGGCTTTACTGAAAATAAGTATAATAAATTGTTTATATTTAAAATTAGCATGATACAGTGAGCTAATTCTACCAGTTATTAAAACAATAAACAACATCGTAGTCTCTAATACTTTTATTTCATACAGCTTCAATATTTTCAAAGATTTTTAAGCTTTAGCATTTATACAAATAAAAAAAACCGATTTTTTTTAAATTTAATTTCATATTGTGGAGCATTTAAATTTTATCATTTTTACAAATTACCTTATTGCTACGCAACGACATAATTCCTCGAATACCAGTAATTAGACAATTTTCATTATTTTCTAAAAATTTTAAACTTAAAAATAATAAAAAAGAAGAATATTTTGTATTGCATATGAACATCATTACACAGCTTTCATATCAGTTTCTAAAATTCCTAAATCACGCCATATTCTCTGTAGGCATCCTAGAATTCTAAGCATTAATAAATGAAAGAAATCTAATTTCTCAGAATGAAAATAAAATAACATAAGAAAATAAATACTACAAATTTGGAACACTAAGCAATGCTTCACATACGCACACACAGACACATATATTATCAATGAACTCATATTATCAAGTGCAATTGCGATACCAAACACTACGTATTAAAATAATGAGGTAAACGTTACTTATAGGGTCAAAGTTTACAGTTTTGCTACTGTTGAGTAGATCGTCGGACTATCGATATTTATCGTAAGTCGGAAAGCATTATCAACATATCAAAAGCAAACAATTAAAAATACAATTTAAATAAAAAAAAGATGTCTCAAATATGATTTACAATTAACACAACAATACAAATTTAAAATACACAAAAGATATGTTAAACATTGCACATAAAAAAAGTTACATTATAGCTCGGCATCACACACAACCTCGTTTTCCCTTGTATACAACGATCCGTATTCGCTCGAAAAACATCAAAGAATTGCACAAACTCGGTGTCCACGTGCACATCCATCTATTTTCACTTAATAAAATCTTAGAATTGCACAAACTCGGCATCGCGCACAACCTCGGCATTGCGCACCATATTGGCTTTACCTATGTACACATCGATCTATTTTCACTTAAAAAGCATCACAGAATTGCACAAACTCCCTATAGCGCAAAGCATTGGCATTGCGCACTACATTGGCTTTGCCCACGTACATAGCGATCTCTTTTCAGTTAAAAAATCAGACATTGAATAAACTCTGCACTGCTCATATACTCAGCAATCTGCTTTCACTTAAAAGAAATCGAAGAATTGCTGAAACTCGCGCATAACCAACTCCACTGATTCGATTAAAAAAAAAAAAAAAAATGTTTCCAGAAAAATTACACAAAACGAAAATAAAGCTACCAGAATAAAGTAACTGCCAACATCCAAATTGTCATGTAAATTACAGGAGGAATCTGCAGTAATAGATCTAAGATTAAAGTTTATGCAATGTACTATTACGAGAATTGCTTAAATGCTTTCGAATTCCATTTTTTATATTTCTTGCATGCACTTGCAAATTATTCAACCTTTGTGATATTGGAAATATTCTACACTCCGACTGATACATGGCTTCCAGCCTAATTTTCAATTCGTACAGCAATCGTGGTGAAAATTCTCCTTCTGTGGCTTTTTTTAACCTCGCTGATTGTGTTGAATCTTCGACTTTTCAAAATTTATTTTTGTTTCACAAAAAGGGAAAAATCTGTCGGACAAGATCAGAAGAGCAGAAAGGCTGGAAAGACTTTCTGCTTTGAAATAAAAATTGTAATTTAAAAGAGTGTGCGTAACACCAAGCAATAGTTCAGGACTTTCCTTTAAATTGTCTCAAACTTTTGAGATTCATTGCTTCTTCTTCTAATAAAATTTCATTCAAAATGATTGATTTTCAAGATGATTTATCTGTAAAATCTCTTTCTTCACGGTCTGAAACTATTAAGTCTCTTGTTCCTAAAGAAAAATACCCAATTTTGGTCTAGGATTGTCTCAAAGTGAAGGCAATACTCAGCTCTACCTATCTGTGTGAATTTTTTTTCCAGTATGAAATTTATTAAAAATAAGTATCGAAACAGACTCACTGATGAACACTTGAACAACTGTATTCGAATAGCAGCCACTACGTACTCTCCCAATACTAAAACTTCTCGATGACAAAAAAAGATTTTCATCCCTCTCATTAAAATTAATAAGTCTAATAAAAAAATATGTTATTGCATTTGTTATATATTACTAGCTACACTTCGGTTTCTTTCTTATGTACAATTCAATTTCAGTTTCTTTTTGTTATGCACAGTTTAATTAAAATTAATTTCACGTTTACTAGAAATGTACGCTTATAGGTACTAAAATCTTATATATATATTTTTTAATTGATAGTTCTTATGGTTGGTAGCTCACAGTAGGATTTAAAAACTATACAGTAGCTCAGAAGCTTCATAGATTTGGCGACCACTGAACTAGACGAAGTAATCGATTTCCGTTATATACAGTAGTTGCTACATTTTTCTAAAATTGGCACAGAGTATTTAGTTCAAGAAAAATTAAAACAATAATAAATGAAAAAAAACTATATTAACTAAAATATATATGGCCGGTTAAAATGAGGCAGAGAACTCTACTATACCGATTTTTGAGATTTAATTATTAAATTTTAATTGGTACCCAATATTCTTAATTATTCTGAAATTTAATTTTAAACGATTATGCTAACTCTTTAGATTTCCATTTCTGTAATTTATGTTACCTTTTACTTATTTGTTTACTTTTAAAAACTGCATATATCTCGAAGTTCATGGTATCGGTAATATTTCTGTTATGCATTTGATTCTCATGGTATTAATTGAATTATCATGGTGAAATACATAATGACATTCCAGTATGTGTTCCTGCATCTAAGAAATGCTATCTAATAAGCTAATATAATTATAATTAATTTTCTGCTTTAAACAAATATCTCGATTTATATGATAAAATAATAACAAATGTGAAGTAAAGAAAGTTAAAACTGCACTGATAACTAAATTATAAATTCTCTGAAAAGTAGCAAAGTACAGAATTTTTTTATTTAATTTGACTTTATTAATTTTTTTTACTTTTTATTTTTTTAAAAAAAAATTAATTTTATTAAATTTTTGATTTAAAGAATTTTTGATTTAATTAATTAATAATTAATAAGTCAATAGTAAATACTCACATAGTTCTGGATCAATTGTGTAAGGAATACGTCCATTTGGCCATATTCTATGTTCTTCCACCACAGCATTTCTATCCTAAGGTTTGAAATGCATGAAAAGAATAATATTAAACATTCATCTTCAGCTCACAGTATATAATATTATGTTGAAGCAGAATATTTCGAGCACTAATAAGGCATAATCATATTTAACGGAAACTAATAATTTGGAAGAGAAGCCGTTTATGCGAGTATTTTAATAGGAACGGGATTATAGTCACGTTATATGTAAATGAGTTAGATAATAAATTAAGGCAGAAACAAATAAAGGGCGAGATGATTTGTAAATAAATTAGCTTAAGGGAAATTGTCTCAGATTTATGCTACGTACGGTAAAAAATAAGGAAAACACCCATGTTGTCAGCCTATTGAGCGACATTTGAGCTCCTGTTGAACTAGCAGAGTTCGGCTTTTACGACGAGGCCGCTTGAGAAAAATAAGATAAAATTATGTATAAATAATTTATTTCTTTAGAAGCGAAACTAGAAATATTTAATATCTTTATTAAGTAAGCATTTAGATCATTAATCCTTCCTAAAACTTACGACTGCATTTAGCTATTTTGCAAGATTTGCTCTTTATCTGCCCATAGTGTCGACTTTTCAGGAAAAAAAAAATTTTTTTTAAGGATTATCTTTTTAAACAAATCTCTCTTGAAGAAAAGGGACGAACATCACCCTCAGAATTTTCGGAAATTGCATATAAAATGCATGCTAATCAACTTTCTTTTTCTGTTTATTTTTACAAAATGCATGTATGTTATTATTCGAGGACGATGACAATCAATTATTAACATTTTTAATTATGCAACAGGGAACGATACAATAAATATATATCTTTCATTACTAAATGAAGATTTTTGCTTATTAGTTATCAAAATACATTTTATCATAATCTTCTAAGTATTTTTTCTCTCTTTTTTCCTATTTTCTTGCTTTTTTTTACAAAACTGTCATTAAGTTTTAACACCTTGAACGAACTCTGTACTTTTAATATTGGACGCACTTCCGCAGAGAACCCGGTAAATGTAAATATTGCCAACTTTGGCGATAACAGTTCAAACCTGGTAACTTAGTGGATATATTGGTTCTTTCCGAAGCGCCAACGGGTTCTCTGCGGATGAAAACCGCAGAGAACCCGTTGGCGCTTCGGGAAAGAATATTTAATAATTTATATCGTGACAAATATAAGTGTAGAACTTACCTCATCAAAATTTGCTGCTAACATATCTCCTTCAAAAAATCAGGATTGCGCGTTCACCGGATGCACCTGAATAGAAAAAGGAATGTTATTACTACTTCAGGGTTAACAAAGCAAAAATATTATTTCCCAGATGGCGCCACTGCAAATAGGTCCATGTAATTCAGCATGCTAATTAGCGTATATAGTCAATTTCCATTCCGACGAAACTATAAATTTCTTACCAGTCAAATGAAATATTTTAATAGTGATACAACGAAAATACGAAATTACTGGAGAAATTTAAGAAAACTGACGAAGATAGAATATGGATAATGCATTTAATTACTGATTAGAATGGCATTTCATTAATCCAAATTCTTTAAAACTGAAATAGTCACATTTTCTTTTAATTGTATTGATATATTTTAAGTTTATGTTTTGCCTATAGATGGCGCCAGTACATATCTTTTTTGTCTGTTAACCCAAATTATCCTTTATTGATGTGAAAGTACACGATTAAAACGTAGATATCTGGAATCACTTCAGGGTGCTAAGGATAAGTTAAAAGTTTTTTTTTTTTTTTTTTTTTTTCTGTTATAGAGCGTTAGTAGGTTTTTATGCTGTAACTAGCGTAGTAAGTACTATGCTTGATTGAAAAATTAGTAATTTTAACAACAACACGGGGGTTCGTTTAAAATTCCATAGATATAAATATTTAATGGAAAAGCATAGATTACGAATGGCTTGGTTTAGCAAAGGCGAAGTAAACAATTCCTGTTTTCTTAGGGATGAAGAAAAACCTGTAAGGTAAATTTTTTCATATTTGCACTAAATACGCAAAAGCGAAGACGTTATCTATTAATAGCACTACAAGTATATTTGGCATGTATTAAAAAAAAAGACACTATAAAAGAAAACAATGAATTTAAATTAAAATTATATTTTGTGGAATGAAAAAAAGTAACTTACACTGGGTTTGTCGTCTCAATAGCTGCTATTATAAAAATGTCATTACATGTTTGCTACATTCAAAAGTTTTTTTAACCAAATTATCATTTTAAATGAAGGCAAAAGAAAAAAAAAATGTCAAATATGACACCCTTTATCACTAATATTGAACACATATTATATAGCTCTTTCAGGCTTCAGGAAAGAGCCAAATACACTTTCATCCCGTGGCAACAGCAAATAAAAGAAGTTCAGTAGAATAATTAGAAAAAATCTGATGTGTACACCACATGACTTTCTTGTACGGAATATTAATTCTACACATTTTTTCTTGCATTTCATTTAAATTTATTGGATTGAATTAAATCTACTTCGCCGACAGCGCATACACCACAATAGAATAAATGCATTCTTTAAAATTCACACTATTTGTTTCCCATAGTGACACTCTGGCGCTAATTTCACTTAACAGTATTATATTTCTTTCGTATTATAACTCACTATGCACAAAATTTATATCATTTAAAGAATTATCTAATCGTTGTCACATGTTCTATTCAAATACTATAATAAGCCAGAACGATGTATTAAAGAAATTAAGCAACAAAACAAAAAAGAAAGTTTTTCACAGACGATTGAGTACTTCTCATTCAATCAATTCAGTTCTCACTTCGCGACAAGGCAATAATACATAAAAAGGTCAAAAATATCTGTATTAAAAATTACGAAGTAAATTTTAAACACTTATTTCCTCCTTGAAAATATTCCAGAAAGGATTAAGCATGATTTAATTCACAATACAGTCAAAAGTCGTTAATTCGGACACCCATAATCCGGAATGATCTATAATCCGGAACTCAAAGCTACAAACTTTCTGCGCATGCGTCAAATCGACGCATGCGCGTAAGACATTTACGGCTGCTAATATGCGTGTGCGCAGGCCCAAAATACGTTGACGCATGAGCGTTTAATGTATAACGAACGGTATAAGCTAAGCTAAAATTACCTAATTCAGTTAATGTTGCAGATTTTGTTGTTCCTTAATCTTCGAATTGGATCCAGCTTAGTATTTTTTGCAGACTGTTAGAGCAATTTTATAAAAGTAAGCATGAACTTTCGATTATGTCAAATAGAATTTCCGATATATATTTACTAATATGTAAAGGATCTACAAAGCGAAAGTATGTTTCGAAGTCCATTAAACAAAAAGTGGAATTGCTGCAAAAAATGGATAAAGGCATATCCTTTGTTTATCTAACCATTCCGAAATCTGTTTATCAATTTCACGCTGCTCTGCGGCGGGGGAACGCCGCGGCGCGCAATGAATTGGAAGTTGATCTGTCAGCACTATCCTTATCTTCAGGGCAGATGTTTTTATTTTATTTGGCTTATAATTCCTTACTAAATGTAGTATTTCATCTCGATGTACTCCGTCTTTGATATGATTTAAATCAAATTCCTCGTCATTAAAATTCGCTTCCGATAGCGAAGAAAGTAAAGTAAGCAAATAAATATTAACCTTTTTTTTTTTTTTTTTTTTTTTTTGTAAATTTTGATACCCTTTAGATCATAATTGTTGTTTATTTCATAAATTACGGTTTCATATTTATAATTTTATAATTTTTGCATGCTATCTTATTAGATTTAAACTGATGATCTACAATCCGGAAAAATCGATAATCCGGAATCGCCGAAGTCCCGACGAGTCCGGATTAACGACTTTTGACTGTAATAAATGAAGGCGTTATCTTTGTTGTTGCGAAGCTAAGTTTCTCTAGATTGGCAACAAATCCACTATTCTACTGTTTCAATGGCCACCATCACAAACATTATTAGGCTTAGCGGCACTTAAACAACTTTGAAATTGTTGATAATTCTAAAAATATTGCATACAGATTTACCAAAGGCATAAAAACCTTAACCGGAAGATAAGAACAACATAATTCAATCATTTATAAAGCAAAAAATGTACAATTTACAAACATATAAGAATAAAGAAACTGAGATCACTGAGCCGACGTTTGGTGCGGCCGACAGCAACCAAAATACGAGGTGCACATCTACATGTTATAGCAGCCCTATATATAAAATTTCCACGTTGTGAGGCTACTCGTTTTTGAGTTATGCGAGATACGTACGTACATACGTTCGTACAGACGCCACGAAAAATTCTCTTCAGAATTCATTTTAAAGCAGTTTTATAATTTTTTTGGAGGAAAAGAGTCTTTTATTCTGTCCTTACGTACAGATATCACGCAAAAACATCGTTAAATTTCATTCGATAGCTTTCAAAATGGATATTTTCTTTGAAATATGCTGCCTGAAACTTTTCGCGATTACAATACTTCCTTTTTACTTCGTACAAGGAAGTAAAAAAGTGTCAAATCTTCCACGTGCAGCATTACACTTCCTAATGCATTCATGACCTTAAGAATAATGCTTTAATAACGTTGAAGTGAATTTCAACGGAAATGTAATTGTAAAATAAATTGCTTCTTTGTGCTAGTTGCATTAAATTAAACAGCTTCATTAGTTTGCTATGAAACTGCACAAAGTTATTATTGTGTAACATAACTTATTGTGTAATATTAGCCACTAAATAAATTGGTATAATTTTTTCTTTTACGTTATTGCTGTAAGCTGAAATAATATTTATACTTAAGCAATTAGGCACGGTTGAAATTTTCTTTTGTAATCTCTTGTAGAATTCCTGGTAGCCTTTCTGATAATCTGAATTATTATCCTGCAGTCGATCAGTAGCCAACAATTCTTCATGTACATATGTATATGAAGAATGTACGTTGCTGTCTAAATGTCCAAATGAATTCAAACAACGCAAAAACAATAAATAAATAAATACATATATATTTAAATCTGAGAGCTTTCAGATTTTTTAACGTTTTGTGTATTACCTTTATTTATTAGATATCATGTTCTTCGCACTTAAACCATAAAATTCAATTGGACAGCAATATTATAAAATATTTAAAAGAGTATATCTTTAGAATTTCCGATACACGCACAGTCTCGTGCGCTGGAGATAAAAATGTTCCCCCCCCCTTTTTTTCCCCGTACAGTGTTGCCATTGCCCGCTTTGAAATCGTTGTTTTTCTCAATCAAAAACTTATATATGCTTTACAAAGTATGATATATATAATAAAATAAATTCCAAATTCCAAATTTGGGCTTCCAGATGCCCGTATTCGACTGTAGAACTACGTTATTCAAAATTTGATGTCACTGTGAAAAAGCAACGGTACCTATAGGTACCGTTGCTTTTTCAGAGTGAGAGAAACATATATATACATTCGTGCATATTCTTCATTATTTAATTTCTTTAAATATAATGCGGAGCTCTATAATTTGGTAGCAACAATTTGAAAAGTGAACCGACATTTATAGTAAATCAACTCTAAATGCCAAAACGAAATTAATAGCTCTTATGGGCTAACACCCTTTGGGCTAATAATTTGAAAGGCTTTAGATTTTTAGCATTCGCTCAAAAGGATTTGTTAAGGTTTTTTACGCTCTCGTTGACCTTACAGTCTCCCAGTCTGATTTTGCCCTCTCCCTAACCCACTTTTCCCCCCTTTTAGTTTTATTATAAAGGACTGATTTCTTCGTACTTACATCATATACAGTTCAACAACAAAATCACAAAATTTTTTAAAGCTGCATAACAGCATATGTTTAGAATGCTCGACGCACTGTTCAGTATTGGCATATATTTTTATATATTTTTGTTTCTCTTTTTATTATCAGTTTTTTACTGTGTTAACTGTTTTTATTTAATATCATGTTCTTCGCCCTTATGCCACATAAAATTCAATTCAACAGCAAAATAAAAAAAAAATAAAAAAATATTTAAAAGCAGCTTATCTTTATAATTTCCGATAAAGTGTTAGAAGTTGCCAAACATATTTCCTCTCGCACGGCTACCCACCTTAAATAGTTATCATAAAAAAAGAAACGTATATAATGATTTTAATGAGTAAATCTAGTGTAATTTCGTAAACGTATTGAATATTTCTAATTTGACATCTCATTTTAATACGAGTTAATTCAAGTCATTCACGTTAAAAATATAAAAATGTATTAAGAACTATGTTTATTGCTTTTAAATCGCTTAACTGATTATTCATCAACTTTCCAGATTAACTTTTAAAGTATTTTAGGCCTTACTGAATGGCAACAGGTTGACGCGTGGGTGATAAATGAATTTTATTTCCGGCTTCGGCAACACATTGCTTTCATGTAGCGGAGTTTGTTAATTAAAACTAAAAGATAACTGTCTTACATTTTCTCGAATGATAATGGTCTCGTGAGCTGATAATAAAAATATTTTATTTCGAACAGAGTTGCGACTGCTCGCTTTCAAATCTTTGAGTTTGTTAATAAAACAAATTCATTAAAATTTTACAAAATAAGAAATAAATAATAAAACGAATTCGAAATTCAAAGTTTTGGCTTCCAGTTGTACATGTTCAGGTGGAAGGACTATGTTATTCAAAATTCGATGGCTCTGAAACATGCATATATACTTGCAAATTCTTATTTAATTTCTTTGAAAATCACACAGAATAACAGAATTTTTGTGGTAACAATTTGAAAAATGATACGCTGTTTATAGTTAATCAACGCAAAACTCTATTTCCAGACTAATAACCCCTTTTAGGTTTAAAAAAAAAAAAAAAAAAAAAAAGAAAGAGAAGAAAGAAAAGGGGAAAAAAGAAAGAACATTTGAAGAGATTTCGATTTTAACATCGCACCAGACAGCTAAGGATTTGTATGCTTTCGTTGAGTTTTTAGTTTTCCAATCTACTTTTGGACTTACTCTGCTGATACGGGTTTTTCTGTTTTTTCAGATTTTATTAGAAATCTCTTGCTGTGCTTTTACATCGAATAGAATTCAACAGTTATAAAAAATTTTAAAAAAGCAGTATGTCTTTAGAATTCCCGATAGTATTGCCATGCAGTTGTTTTACTTTCCCTGCATTCTTTAAACATAGTGCATGGCGATAACATTTATTAATTATTGTTAATTAATATTATTGTTAATTAATATGTATATGAAAGTATATAGTCAGTATTCCTTCATTTGTGCTGCCACCTTCTCAACCTTTTGACTAACGCCTACCATCTAAACAAAATTGAAAACCTTCAGTACCACCACTAAAAAGTACTACTACCACCAACACTCTTGAACAAAGCTCAGATCGCATAAATTTACTGATTGTTAGAGAAAAACCTTAATCAGGATGTTGTGGTTTTAATTTTTGAATTTAATAGTTAAAAACACTTTGATTCTTTGCGTACCACTTGTTTTTCCCTTGCGTACCACCAGTTGAGAACCCCTAATTTAGACTAATACAACCTCTGGTGATAAAAGGGAAGACGGGAAAAGAACGTTTCCGTCTAAGCTCATGTAAAGGATTAAATAGTTTAAAAAACCGAATTAAGATTCTTTCAGATATAGAGAGTTGCTACATACATTATAATCCCTACATGCATGATGCTTATTGCTTATAATTTTGCGGATTATTCAACATTAATATTTTGTAAAAAAAAAAAAAAAAAAAAAAAAAAAAAAATCTGAAAGGTTTCAGATTTTGAAAGGAGCGTTTTTTTTAACATTTTGTGTGTTGCATTTATTTATTAAATATCACATTTTTTGCACTTAATCCATGAAATTCAGTTCAACACAATATCGCAAAATAGTTTTAAAATGAGCCTATCTTTAGAATTTCCGATACAGAGACTCCCGCGTTGGAGAAAGAAATGTTTTTTCTGTACAACTTTGCCATTGCTTGCTTTGAAATCCTTGAGTTTATTAATCAAAAATTCGTTAAAGTTTTACAAAATACGAAACCGATCATAAAACAAATTCCAAATTTCAAATTTGGACTTCCAATTGCGCATATTCGCAGTAGGATTACGTCATTCAAAATTCGATGGCTCTATATACCGTTGTTTTATCACAATGCGAGAAATAGACATACATTTATGCAGATTTTTCATTATTTAATTTCTTCAAATATATTGCAGGACTCTACACTTGTTGGCAACTGTTTGAAAAGTGAAACGGACATTTATAGTGATTCAACGCAAAATCGCAAAACGAAAACAATAGTCCTTTCAGGGACAAAGCCCCTTTAGACTAGCAAGTTGACAATAATTAAGACACCAGACAAGTTGACAATAGTTTACCTACCTCCTTGAATCCTTTTTCCCAATGCCTTCAGGCACAACGCAGAATGAATTGCACCTAGAAAGCAACATACGGTACGCTTCCCAAGCACAGGGTTTTATTCCCATTAAAAATTTTAAAAAATAAATAAAAAAAAGGTGTTATCAGAGTGCGACACTACATGTTTGCGTTATCATAACTGTTAAACTAAGTTACTGAGCTAAGGTTTTTCTTGTGATTATTTCTTCTTTATATTTCTCAGACTTGCAATACTATATTTTCGCATTATCATAACTGAACAGCAAAGAAATTTCCCTTGAGATTAAGAATTTATTTCTTCTTTATATTTCGCAGACTTGCAATATTACATTTTCGCATTATCATAACTGAAGAGCAAAGGTTTCCCTTGTGCTTAAGAATTTATCTCTTCTTTATATTTCGAAGTATATTTCAGGTGCCAATTTAGCTCTTTACTTGTTAATTAATATGCATATGAAAGTATATAGACCGTGTTCAAAAAAGTATTTATGTGGTCTTTATCCATTTCCAATCATTAAGATTTTTCAAATGATGCATATTTTCATACTTCGGCATTTTGAGTTTGAAAGATCAATTTTATGAAAGTTATGGGATATTAACATTTTTACAGGATCTCTCGATCCTTGTAGTTATATTTAGCAAACATTTATACTCATTATAAAAATTAAAACACCTAAACTTCGATCCCGATATGATAGAAGCTGAGTGGAATACTTAATTGCATTTTCGTCTCTTCTCTAAGGGCAGGTTAAAAAATAAACTGCAATAACTGAAAGTTGAAGTTTTCCGTTTAATATCATTCAAAGAAATTCCTTTGTGATTTACTAAAATGTATCATTCTTCAGAACTTAAATTGCGACGGAGCCCACCGGAGTCCGGTTACGGTTCTTCCTATTTTGGGAATAAATTATAATTCTAGCCGCTGCGCACCGGAGCACTAAAATAAGAAGGCTCCTACACTTATTTGATATAACTAACTGAACAGCAATTTCAGCAAAAATCTTATCTCGAAAATTTTATTTTTAATAATAAAATTATTAAATTATTAATTATCATTATTCTAACTTCTGAATGCATGCTTCTCTTTCCTTGTGTAATAAACCCTTGGTTTGAGGTCGAGACTTTAAGGAAAGAAAAGGACCCACTCACATGTCAAAGGCTTATTCTCCAGAAAGTACTACAATGAATTTATGGACAGCTGGGAAAGTTTTTATTCTAATGATAGTGTCTTCCCGCGGAAAAGAGAACCTGGAGAGACTTATTGGAATGATGTAACCGGGTAAAGACAAGCCATTATTTTAAATAATGAAGTCAAACAAAGATATTTCCTTATTAGTTCATTTTATTTAAAAGATAACTGAAAATATCCTTAGTTTTACTGAAGATATCAGCATTTATACAACTTGGAAATTCTGATAATATCACTTTCACTGAGTCCAGGCTTATCCGTCACTTCCTTCAGTTTCCTGCCATCTTTAGCAGTCATGGTTTTCAGGCCGTCGTAATGGCTCTTGCTGAAGACGGTTTCTCCGTACAACATAATTGAATCATAATCAAAAGGCGTGAGCAACTGGTTTTGTTTAGGCCTAAGCTTCACAAACTGGCTTTCCATGCCTAAAACAACAACACAAAAAAAAAAAAAAAAAAAAAAAAAAAACATAAATGGCATACGTCAGTAATCATAATACTCTCTAGATAAATTTTTAAATAGGAAGCAAAAATTTGCAAATAGAAAGATATGATTAATTAAAATGTAAAAATCAGTGTTTAGTTAGAAATTAAAAATATATTTGAAAATAATCTTAAAGAATTTGTTAATAATGAAAATATTAAAACTTGGTTACACGAACTTTTAGTTAAGAATTTAAATGTAATTTACTCCCAGATTCTTAGCCTTATTTAGAGCTTTTAACGTTTTCGCTTATTATTTGCAACTGAGCAACACGTTTTGCAGTATAATTTTGCTTGCTTTAACACTTTTTATAACATATTCTAAGAATTGTGTATCCCATAAGCCACGTAAATCATTGCGACATTTGGAGAATTTATACATAATTATCTACATTAGTGGTTCCTAAAATACTGAGCGTAATTCATCGATGGGTCAGGACACAATTTCTAGTTTGTCTTGAAAAATTTTATTCTTTTGCTTATTGCTTGATTATATTGCTTACTTAACTGTAATTATGAATTTATTTATAATAACCAGTTAAATTTTAATAATTATTTAAGTTTATTTATTATTATTTCACTCTTATATAATTATCTTCTATGAATCTTTTTTTTTTTCCTTCTTTGTCTAGGAGAAACTTTGCCTGGGATGCCAGATTGAAATGCTTGAGAAACATTGATTTAGACCATTTTACTTCTTGAATGGTACTTGAGATAAATCTGTAAATAACATGTTTTAAAATCAAAGAAGCGCTCACATTAAAAGTAACAAATAAATATTTTGCTATTCAAAAAAGTCAGTTTCGAGAAATCTCTTTTTAAGAGCATAAAAGATTTTGAGATATTTTACAATAGTCTCAAATTTCCTTCTTCTTGACTATACTGGCGATAAATAAATAAATAAAATGATAAAAATATAAATAAATTAAAAATAAAAAACGCTGTTGATAAATAGAAGTCAGTTCAATTTCGAATTTAATATTAAATCAAATACTTTAAGTACTCTGTCGGAGTATTTTCAGCCCTAACTCAATATACCTTACAGTCGTATAATTTCAGTAGAGAGAACTGTACTGCTCTAAAAAAATTTACAATAATACAATAGTAAATTTTCCACCCTAACTCAGTATACTTTACAATGGTACAATACAAAAATATACTTTTTGTAATGTATTAGTAAATAAATGGCAAGGTAAATATAAAGCTTTAAAAAATAAACGAACAATTGAAAGCATTATCACTGATAATAGTTTCTTTTTTTCTCAGTTTAATTTTATCAAAATATTGCTATTGCGAAGAACTTAGTACAAGTTGTAGTGCCTCCCGCGGAAGTTGAAATGCTTAGTAGAAAGAAGGGAAGTGAGGCTCGGAATAGATTTTTCTACTCCTCCAAGCAAGAACGGGATGCAAGTTAAATCATTAACGATATTGCTCTGCATGAAGCACCCGAGAGAGTACAACTTTAGCATTTATAACTTCTCTTGTGATCACTGAAATAGGAAAGTTTTGAGAAAGTTGGATTTTTATAGTCTAATTTTTTATTAATTAATTCAGTATATTTGCAAATATGTTTAAATCTTTTACTCTTTCAAGTTGGTTTTATATTATATAACTACATATTTTCATAATACTTTTTTATTGGGTCATTTAATCTAATTGTTATCACTTTGGGTAAAAAAAATTTATTTCTGCATTCTACGCCTTTTTCAGAAAATGTATATGAATTGTCTTAATGAGTACCCTGATTTTTATTAGTTTTATGTAAAAGAACTTGCCACATCTAAATAATTTGAATTGTTATTTGTGTCCAAATTTTTCTTATACTTATATCTTCATTACTTTTATCTTGATGTAAAGGACCTGTAGGCGCGTTTTGTTGTATCAATACCTTTAATTTCACATATTACCGATTATTATACAGACCTTCTACGTGTGTTTAAATATCAAATAACTAAAATTAATAAAAATTAATAAACCAATTTGAGTGAGAGACTTCCTGCTCTCTTAACCGTACTGCCACCAAACGGATATTCGACTATTCCTCTCGACTTTACCTTAGTTCTGAAATTTCTCATGATTTTTATGTTACTTTTCTTAGTATTTCGTTATTTACAATCAAAAACGTGATTGTTGGCATTGTAGAGACATTAAGCTATTTTTATGCGGAAGACTTGAAAAGATAAATGCCCTCTCCGGGACTCGATCCTGGACCACTCGAATATGCGCCGAGTGGGCTAACCGTTACACCATGAAAGCATGCAGCTTTGCGCAGATGCAGTGTCATAGCCAATGAGATACCTTATAGCAAAGAATTGCCTTGTAGCAAAGAGTGTGTGTGTGTGTTTGTGAGTATGGCAAAGCCTCGAGGGCTATCTGCCTAAGAGGAGGGATGCCTTCGTGGAGGACTTGCTAAGGGAAACTGGCTCGTATACACGTTACACATGGGGAAAACCACGAAAACGCCCATGCAGCCAGCCCGTTTGCGGGATTCGAACCTCGGACTGAACTACCAGTGTTCAGCGACTTTACCGCTCGGCCGCTGGTGGGCCCCCTTGTAGCAAAGAATATGTATTGTTAAGAAGGAAAGCTTCAGCAGCAGCAGGAGGAGTGGCTCCCTCCGAACAAAAAGGGACACAACTGCGCATGCGTGAAATATTTGTCGCCAAAAAGCGCCAAAGCTCGAAGCTGATGTCGAAGTTCGAACAGGTTCGACGGTCACGTTTATCAGTTTAAAGCTGTGTGATTCCATTTTTTTTCCTACATATTGACAGATATAAAATCAGACAGCAAACTGCGATATGGATAATACAAGTTCAACTAATAAATCAAAAAAGCACGAAAATTCGAGTTTAAATTATCGCGAAAAGTCAAAGAATGATTGATCTTAACCCATGTTCCTCAATTTCCTGTACGCGTGGCGGAGGTGGAAAATCTCGGCCAGGTACATCACAAAGGGGGAAATTCTCGCCAACAGGTTCCGTCGCCAAATCTCTTGGCGAATAGTCCCTCTTCTTTCTAGCGGCGTAGAAGACAAACTGGTTTACATTACATCTATGGAGCCTTCTTTACATAAACTTGCCTTGTAGCATGTAAACTGATTATTCCCTCTCCTATGATGAGATACTACGGCGTGCTACCGCAAATGCGTTTGAAAATCGTATTCGCCAGTTCTCTGTTAAATATCAAGTATTAGTACAAAGTATTAGCGGGGCTGTTCTTTGCACTCTCTTGCTGCTAAACGTAGTGAGTTTGAGAAATGGAACTTCGAGAAATGTTGTAAAAATTCTGCCTTAGTCGTACCTGCGAAAAGTAAGATACGCAAATGAATCTACTTGCATTATTTCGTCAAGGAAATGTATTTACGATATGTACTGCTCACAACTTTTCGATTTCGCTGACTGAAATAGTCGATATTGTTAAACAAGTGCATACTCAAACACACATCGAGAACTTTTATTAGTAAAATGAAGCCCTCGAGGCTAATGCTGCGAACAGAAGTACAATGATTGCAAAATTTCGAAATAAATCTTCATTGTTGTCAGTAGCTGTACAAAAAATATTACTTTTCTATCAAAAGTAAAAATAATAAATACATTTCATTGCATGTAATAAGAATTTTTGTGCTATTTGCATTTAATAATTAGAGACTAATACACTTCCAGATATTAATAAAATAATTAAAAAAATTAGAATTTTAAGTTTAATAGCTTGACACCTCTGCTTAGACATACATATATGAAACTACCAAAGCCACACAAAATATGAATGAGGTTAAATTTAAATATTTATATCTATTCATTTGTTCAAAATTACAGTGCATAAGTGTCATTCAGCGTGTCAGTAGCTTTTGTTACTAAATTAAGGATTTAATTTTCTCACCAGTCTGTATATTTTCATAATGAATGTTCAAATAATCATCTCTATCTGATCTAGAATGCTCGTGATAGAAACCAACGGAATGACCGAGCTCGTGAACGATGATGCCAAATTTGAAACACCCAGCTCCGAGAGACAAAGGCTGATCGTTTAGGGTTTTCCCCACATGAGAATAGCATCTGGAACAACAAAGCAAAAAATATTCAAAATATTCATTCGCAAGAATGATTGTCTTAATATCAGCATGAAAGAAATTATTGATGCATTGTTCGTAAGGACATAAAACCAGATTTAAAAAATAAGCTTTTTATGAAACAGTGCTTTTTAAATATAAGAACATATTTAGGATTAATATTAGATCTACAAGCCTAGATGCTAAATATTAACACAAATTTATTATTTTTCTTTGATTAATAAAATAAGGGGGAAGTATACCCTCCAGAAGTTCAACCAAAATTTAATGTGATTGTAAAAGCATATATATGTGTATGACTAGTTGGTTAGAGTTTTAATTGGTGTTAACTTTAAATAAGTTATCATGCGTTAAATGCAGGCAGACGTATGTGCGCCTATTTGAAGCTGAAACAATATTAACTAAACGTTTTTGTGATGTGTAAGTAGAAAATACGAGATTTTATATGAAATAAAGAAGCCTTATTAAAATTTCGGAGAAAATAATTAATAAATTAAAGTATTTTATCATAACAAAATTATTCAGAACTATTTAAAAAGGAGAAATTTTTATGAAGGAATTTCGAAGGTTCCTCAAGGATATTTGTTATCTGTATTGTAAGGAAAATATACCCGTTCGATCAAATCAAAATTATGAAAGATCAGAAAGCTTCACGAAGCTAGCCAGTTCATCTACCAAAAAAAAGAATTCATGCAACTTTAATCCTTCGCATGTTGGCTGGTTCAATGTAAAATTAATGATAATTTTTTTAAATTTAAATTGAATTTACAGCTAAGGACATTTCACGTTAATTATCAGCAATAACTGAATGTTCATGGATTTATGCAAATTATTTTATGCATATATACCTGTTTCTGTTACTGTTGTGCTTATACCCATGTTTGGGAGCACAACTTCTTTGACGAAGACGTGAATACTCACAGGACTATTTTTGGTTTAAATCATTACGGTATCTGTATTGACATAACCACTTGATTCAACCGTCAGTTTTGATCAAGAGTACATAGGGGATCGGAATTGTCGTAGTATTTCTACCACCAACCTTACGAAGGGACTGTTCACTTGAGGGGTCATTCAGTTTATTTAAGACATTAAATTTATTAAGTATCAGGCAATATGAAAAATCAGCCATCCTTAGCCAGGATTCGAACAGCAGACTTTCCGATTACCAGCTGGATGTGCTATCAATTACATTTTACACGTTCCACAAAGGCATGCTGATGAACACCAAATGTTTCAAAAATTATTTTAATAAACGAAACAAAATGTAATAAATTTTAATAAAATTTAATAAATGAAAATTAGAATTACATGTATTGGAAATTTGAATATTGTTTTTGCGTATTAATATGTTGTTTTTAAGATCTGATTTAAGTTTTTTTTTTTTTTTTAAATTCATGTTAGTGGTCCGCCAAATATAAAATTATATATGTAGTGGTCCGTGAAGTTCTAAGGGTTGAGGACCGCTGGTCTGGACGGCTTGTATATAAATTAATAACGCATATATTTACATAAGGGTTAAAAGTAAAAACTTCAGTGTTTTACAGAATAGGAGCGAAATATTTGCAGATAAAAACTTTGTAACCATTACTAGAAACAAAAATGAACCCATAGATTGACTATTCCTAATCTACTCTCAATATCCTAATCCACTCTTCTCACGCATTTCTGTACTATTGAGCTATCACCTACTATTTCTCTCACATGGTTTCTTACATTTTTATGAATACTTTAAAAGTAAATTAATAACTATTTACGGCAAGCATCTTGTGCCATTTAGCTGTGTATGTTAAAAAAAAAAAAAAAAAAAAATGTTGCATGTCAAAAAAAAGGGGAGAATGTTCAGTCAGCTGTAAATGTTTCTTTCGTGAAACACCTAGGCTTTGTCGTCGTCATCATTTATCATAAATATGTAAAATTTTTCATTACATAGATACTACAATACAGGTTACGAATAAAATTATATATATGCAGTACGGAAAATCTATGATAAAATGATAGTAATGTAAAATAATATTTAAATAACCACTTTAATTTCACGAGTAGTCTCCATTCTATAAGCTAATAATTTTAATCATATTTTGTCTAATTTTCACTTTTCTAAAATGTTTTAATTACTATAACAGAGATCTTCGAAAATGATATTTTATAGCTAGATAAGCTAATTCGTAAAAACTCGTAATCAGACTCAGCAAAAAACACTCACACATCTTCATACATATAAACTAGAGAAACCATTTCCTACTTTATCATGCAAAAGAAATTATGGATTTTTCCTAAGTAAACGACGCTTACTAGGTTTCATGCATTGCTTTCCGTATCTGTTAAAAATCTGGAGCCCACCAACGGCCGAACGGTAACGTCGCTGAACACTGGTAGTTCGGTCCGAGGTTCGAATCCCGCGAACGGGCTGGCTGCATGGGAGTTTTCGTGTTTTTCCTATGTGTAACGTGTATACGAGTCAGTTTCCCTTAAAAAAGTCCTCCACGAAGGCATCCTTTCCTTAAGGCAGATAGCCCTCGAGTGCTTTGCCGTAATCTAATAAACCAACCAAACCAACTGTTAAATATTTGATCAATGAATTAAAAGTTTTCTATAAAGTTTTAGAATGAGAAAGCAGTGCTTTGGCGAAAGGAAAAAGAATTTCTTAACTAAACATAGCTAAAATCAACATGCAAATGTTTGATTAGTATTAAACATAAATAATTGAAAATTTCATACCCTCTGCCAGGAAATATGCGAATGTATTGCATGTCTTTATCCTCTTTCGGTACAAAACGGATGCATGTTTTATCTGCGTAGTGCTGCATGGCTTCTTTGATTTGTGGTATTTGTGGAGCTGTGAAATAGTACAGAAATATATAGAAAAATAATTTTGAAGCAATTAGGTGAATCCTGAATTTTATCAAAAATATTAACCATGGCGCATATCACTTTTGTTTGTTATGAGAATAAAGGCAATGCTGCTTATATTTCTTTTAACGGTAACATCGACACATAATTTTAAACTGGATTGCAATATTATATTCTCATGTGCTGTTTTTTCGACATTAGTTTCCCAACACTTGAAATATAAAATATTCAGATAATTTCTCGAAAATTTATTCAGTGGGGTATCCAAGAATTGTATGTTGTTATGAAAAATCATCTGCAATGCTATTTTTGGAAATTAAAATAAATAAATAGAAATCATAAAATATTTCATAACTGTATATAAGTACTGAGGAGTCTGAATAAATTTTTATTAGGAATAAATTAATTATGTTCTTCAGATTTGGGGGTTGGGGCGATATAGCATCTAATCTAAATTAATCTAAGGGTTTTATTCCAAGAAAGTCCGTTTTCATATTTTAAATCTCCAGAAATGACTAGAAAGAATTCAGGCCAACATTCTCAGAGTGTTCTTAACGCAGGAAAAATTCGATGTAATAATATCATACCTGGCTTCTTAAATATATTATATGAAATTACTGTTACAGGAACGTATTGTAAATACTGATATAACAGTTTATTAAAGCATTACAAATGTGCATAAAATAATTTTTACGTGTATTGTTATTGTAATGAACATGAAAATAATTGTATATAAGTGTAGAGTTCTCGCTGTGTTTAACAGGCTTTGGTATAATATACACGGATAATTTTAATATCATCCCAAACGAGTTCGTTATCTAGTATCTAACATGGGTTTACTATGGTTTTGCATAATTGATTTGTGAAAATTTACAATAAATTCTTAAAAAATATAATATTAATAATATATTTTCAACAGTCAGTGTTCTTTAATGGAAGTATAAGATTTAAAAAAAAAAAAAAAAAGCAGCTAAATGGTGTTTGCGAGAATAACCAAAAGGTTTCAGAGCCACAAAGTTCAAAAACGTACGAGATGAAATTTACCCAGCAACAACGTTAAAATATGCCCCGCTGCGTAGTTTTAGCAATAATATACAATCAAAATAGTAAAATTACAATAATCAATTAGAAAGCAGCTCGAAAATAAATATCATACCTCGAAACAACAGTTTTAGCCCCCTGTCACAAATTATAGATAACCAGTTATTGGCATTTCAACACTAGTCACGAAGATTAAACTAACAAGGGTGTGTTGCTTCCGTTGGACGTATTAAGATTGAGTTAGTTGGCAAAATTCTACATACTGTTTGGTTATCCTTCTTCAGCCAAATGACAGAAAAGATATGGGTCCTTATCAAGGGCAAAGTGAATAATTAGTTGTCTGAATATTAATGTCTTTTAAGAGCTTCACATGTTCTTCAAAAGTACCCTAGCGTGCTTTTTTTTTAATCTTCTTTATAGTTTACTTCATCGCCTATTATGCAAGATGAAAATATCAAATAATCATCATATTTATTTTTTTAAATTTTCCATTTGAAATGAAATATATGAAAATAATATATCTTTTTTTCCACTTTAAACAACAGTACTAAAACTATTCCCAGTATACTAGAAACCTGCCAGTATTCTCTTGATATTATGTTTATTTTCATATTTGTAAATAATTAAATGAATATTATAGCTCTGACATCAAGAAAACGTATTTGAAATAAATTTTCAAATAAAGACTTTCCTGAAAGATATGAGAGAAGTGTAATAAATGTATTCTATTTTGTAAATATTTTTCCTATTATATTTGAGTTATAACACTTAATCATATAATTAACTCACTGAATTCCTCTAAACTTCTCTCATTTGATGATATTACTGATTTATCATAAAAGTGACAAAATGAGCCACAGGCACATTTTCTTTATAAATTACATGAATGAACTCATAACTGGTTAGCCAAAGACCTTGACGGAAAGCATGAAAGAATATTTTTATGAAACTATCCTATAAAAAATTTTGTGTAATTGGACAAAGGAACCCTGAAACGTAGTCAGTTCGAGTATAAATATGAGAATTAAAAACGCATGTGGTAGGAATGCATTTAAAGACATTATTTAGTGTGCAAAAAACGTATTGATTCTACTAGCTTCTAATGTGGTCATTGGTCGAACTAATTAGTTCTACGTATATTAAAACTAAGAGACAAAATGGAATGAATATTGACAAGTTCTGTTCTTGTAAGATAAGCACATCCTGTCAGGGATTTAACCAGTACTGTAAAAACTTCATTTACCGGCATTTGAAGACTGTTAAGAAATATTCAAGTGACAAGTACATATAATATAGCTGAAACGCTTAGTAGACAAGAACGAATTAAACATCCACTTACTATATATTTTTAGTCACTTAAATGTAAGTGCCCCATCATATTGAGTAACATAAGTAACAGAAAAGCATTTGGCATTAACTTTTTTTCCGCCTTCTTTTTTATGTTCTCCATATTATTTAAAGGTTCAACCTTTTCTTCTTTTAGAATTTTTTATTTGGTATACTTTTATGAACTGCCTACTCACCAGTACTATGGCACTGCATTTCAGGCCAGATAAATGAAAGTAGTTGCTTTGGAAACGAAAATCGAGAATTGCATATCCAGTTTATGAGTTCCAATTATCAATAAGCTCTAACACTTTTAGTATTTTTTAGGAGTTAACAGTTTCTGTTCCCTTGGATTCTGTCACTTAAAACGTTCCGCGACTTAAAACTAACCTACATGGGGGGGGGGACAAGTAATACAGAAAACATATGTACACTAAAGATTGCGACCCAATAATAATATAAGTAATATTCTTAAAACTTACTGAAGCGTAAACACGATGTTGTCAGAAATATAATTACTAGCGATATTATTTAATTTCTTTTTCTAGATAATATGCTATTCTTATTGTAATAATAACATAATATGTTGTTATTAGTTAATTGCACATTTGCCCTAAAATTTGATCTGTAGAAAAACATTTTATGAAAATATTACCAGTTTAATTGATAATTAATAGAGGAAGTCTACTGTACTCGTTTTTAATGTTAAATTAATCAACAGGCATCTGTTCCCGTTGAAGTTCTCGGCGCACCTCTGATAGGACAGCTCGCGATAAAACTGGCGTGCTATACTAAAGATACTCTCGCATGTGCTGCAAAATGATTTTCTTACAAATGGCGCTCTTATATTCCCGATATCCTTTATACAACTTGAAAAAATACCCTCTTTTGCACAGTTGTTGGTACAATTGCTAAATTCTCAAAATAGTCTTCTGGATGTGGTAGGTGGGTTGGTCTGATTTTTAAAATTTTCTAACTGCTGGGTCACGTGATCAATCACTGCCGAATCACTTGCGTTAACAAAATTATTTACAGTGAATTGACTTTCATATGATTTGGCAAATGCATTTTCATATCTTTAGAATTAATTAGAGCTTGATTATAGTAATTAATAGGTTTGATTTCATCATTCTTTCTTCTAATAGCTTTAGCAATTTTCCACAAGGAGTAATTGATATGTGATAGACTGTTAACAAAGATATTCCAACTGTCGTTTTTATAATCTTTGCTGAGTTACTTAACTATTCTGTTAGCTTGATTGAAGTTACGTTTATCGACGAGGTCTAAAGTTCTGTGATAAATTTTTCGAAGCCTGTTTTTTTCTTTAATCATGTTATGGATGTACGCAGGAAGAGGGAATTTTTCTGAATGAGTGGCCGATTTCAATTTGTTGAACGCTTCGTGAATGCTATGGGTGAATTTATCTATTGTATCTTCAATGTCTACATTGAAAAATGCTGATGCAGTCAGATTATAGTAGCACGTGGTATAGTATATATATAGTAGCACGTGGTCGCGCTTAGCAAGCCACGCTTATCAGTCAGAGTGTACACGCTAAATCGGACCTAAGTGAAAGGCACAATCGCGATCGACGACCTTCACTGCAAATGAAGATCATAACTGTGAATAGGGTTTTTTATTGTATTCGCGAATTATCTACTTACTGCTGCTATGGAAGCATACACAGGAATTCAATTTCGCTATCATGTGAACGTCTTTAGCCAATCGCAGTAGACGTTATATATATGTAAAAGCCAGTTAAACCGTAAAACTTACCTCACCCGTGACTCAAATTTCCTTACTTAATTTTATCTTGTACTTTCAGCTACTGCAATTACTATTCTCAATTCGTATTGTATCTTATTTTTATTTTTGTGCTATGTAAAATTCTTGTATCGCATTTAATATTTAACTGTACATAACTATTTACATTTTGACTGTTTAATGTATTGTATCATCTGTTCTTTAGACATTTGTCTTGGCCTGTGATGCATGGTCACCCCCTTTCTCTCTCGCCTCTGAATTTTAATTTACCCGCTCGGACTCTACTATTGTCATGTGCCCTGTGTGCCTTTTATCATGAACCGGAAACGTCGCGCTTCGCGCGATATATCTGCAATACTTGTAAGGATACGAATACCGTGAAACTTTAAAACTTGTGCTCCTTTAGCGCTTTAAAATTTGAGTTCCAACTATGAATTGTGTGGTGAGCTCTGTTTATTTAATTATATTCTATCAGCCCCTAGAGTAGGTACCATGAGTTTAGAAACAAACACACACATGCATACATTTAAATTCGGGGTATATGTGGATATTTCTATAGCACGTTTGACGTTCCTTTTAATTTTCCTTTATCAACATACTTAGTTTCTCTATTATGTGTTCTAAAATTATCTTGGTCAAATATTTTGTTAAAGTAAATTTCCTTTAAAACAATTACATGAAATTAATAGCAAAACAAAGCAAACTTTAAAAAAAATTCACATTTATGTTTGTACTGAATAAACTTGAAAACGCATATAAAAGAGCCTAATTATAAAAACTCTGAAGAATGAGATAATACACAAGTTTTTGATTAAGTACAAAAGTAAACACTCACTTAATTTTGGATCAATAGTATAAGGAATGCGTCCATTTGGCCAGATTCTGTGTTTTTCCACCACAGCATTCTTATCCTAAATTTTAAAACGTATAAAGAATCAACATTAAAAATACATGTTAAACGTATAACAGTTTATGTTCCGAAGTAAAATAGCCTAGTTCTAAGATTCAGTTGCTTTTCAGTGGAATTAGTAATTTAGAAGTGAACCTTTTCGTGGAGGTGTCTTTAAATGGAATTTTTTTCCTATCTGTTTATGGTTTGGGGAACTTAGCGAAAATCAAATAATGTATTTCTTTGACTATTAGGCTTGAAATGGAACTAGCGAAGTTCATATCTAGTCAACACTTATTAAATGTTAATTCACTGATTCCTCCTAAATCTTACTTGTCCATTTGGCACTATTACAGCATTTCTGCCGCTCTATCCACACAAAAGATCGCTATTTCTGAGAAAAAATGCAAAGCCTTTTTTAGCAATTAGCTCTTGAGAAAGAGGGAACAATGGTATTTTCCATTTAAATTAAAATAAATCGCATAAAACTTTTTTTGTAAAGTATAATAATTTTTTTTTTTTTAAATTTTACGAAAAAAGTATTATTTATAGACTCATTTTTATGACCGAAGGTTGGTTTAGGTTTGGTTTTATTGGATTACGGCAAAGCATTCGAGGGCTATCTGCCTTAAGGGAGGGATGCCTTCGTGGAGGACTTTCTAAGGGAAACTGGCTCGTATACACGTTACACATGGGGAAAACCACGAAAACGCCCATGCCGCCAGCCCGTTCGCGAAATTCGAACCTCGGACCGATTTATGACCGAAGGAGATCATTAATACTTATTTATTAAGTGACAGGAAAACAATGCCGTAAATGTGAAACTTTTTATTTTTAAACTAAGCTTTGTTCCTGTTAAACAAATAAAGTGCAATTTATAAATAAAATGAAAACTCTCTATTGTTATTATTATTATTATTTATGAAACTGGTTAGAAGGAATTTTCAATTTATGATACTTATTAATTCTTTCTCTGGCAAATACAAGTGCATAACTTACCTCATCAACATCTACTCCCAGTATATCTCCTTCAAAAAGGTCAGGATTGTGCATTGCTTCATCGCCGGATACATCTGAAAATGTAATGTAACACTTAATTATATAGCATCGGTTTTGTACTATTTTCTGATCCTAGATGGAGCCACTGCGATAGGTATGCATTCTCTATTTCGAGTTTATTTACAACTTTAAAATGCCATTTGCCAGTTAAATCAAATCATATTTAAGAAATTTCAGCAGCTTTATATTTTCAATAATCACAAACAATAGCAACTAATAAATAGGGGATAGGTAACCTACTTCACATACATACTTTTACGTTTTATCATCGAACGATTTTCCATAAGATGAAAATATACACATTCATGGCAGATTGAAATTATTAATTGATAAGAAAAATTTCTTCATTCCTTGTACATAAGTTTCAATAAGAGATTAAGATTGTTATTCCCTGTGAGAATATATTTGCCATTAAACACAGTCGATGGACAAATTTTGTCTGTATAAAACGTGTCCATGGACAAATCGGAGGTTCCTTCAGAACAGAGTCTCATCACAAAGCAGCTGGCATTATTATGTAAAAGTAGTCTTTAGAGGAGAAATTTCATTAGATTGCGTCCAGCGTAAAAAGGCCTGCAACCTTCTAAATATCAGTTTTTCAATATGAAGAAAGCAGTGTTAATTAAGGATAATGACAGTTTATGGCTGACACCACTACACATGTAAGTCTTCCGACTAATTAGAGTAGAAAATGTTATTTTTATACTAGTGCTCTGGCATAAGTGCCTCCACTCTTCTGAAAGATGTGTTCTTCAAGTTCAAAAACTCTGCTGTTCAAAAAAATGCTGGCACTTTTTCCCGAGGTATTCTTATAAAGGTTTCTTTTCTGGAGTACAATGGCCGTCTTATGAGACAATACGTGATGATGTAGAGTAATAAGATTTCCAAGTGGTGTTACGCCGCCCGAAGCTGCTCAGTGATTTTTGAGATGTTGAAAGTGATGAAATGAACCTTAGGAATTTCGATGTTATCAAAATTATACAGAATAATCCTAAGAATAAATAAAAAAATTTCGGAGGGAAAAAAAAAAAAAATTAATTCAGAGAGAACTTAGTAAACTTCAGGCAGAAACTGCCATGCATATGGGAAATTTTCCACTAAACTGATTAAACTTCTTAAAATTCAAATGAAATAACTTAATGATGATATAGGGGAACTGCTTGGCTTCTGGAACAGTTTAAAAAATATAAAAAGATGCAAATATTCACGGAAAGAATCAATTACGGCGCCATGTCTAACTTTAATACTTGAATATAACTTTAATATTTCAATATAACTGATCAAGACAGCATTTCATAGCAAAGAACAAAGTTTTACATGATTCGAACGCTGCTGAATTGCGAAAGGATTCTTATGGTGCTAACGGTGACTTGAAAGATGAAAAACGTTTTGACTAACAAATTTTCATTCACAAGAGAAGGCCAGAGGTTGCAAGGAGACGTATTTCATGTATCGTGCCGAAAATGTTTTAATCCTGATTGGAATGACATTTCAATTGAGCAGAGAACACAGATAAAAGTATAGGTGTGGAAAACTATACTCTAACCAGGCCTCGGCGGCAATTTTTATCTTAGAGTTGGCGATATTTGGCTGATATTATTCGACATTCCCAGTCAGACTGATAATATTTTGGAGACTTCCGTAAAATAAATTTTCAAAGTTTCCAGCTGTGCTTACTTCCTTTAAGCAACCCTATAAATCGGAAGCTCTGAGCGGCTGTGTTATGCAAGTCCAGTTTGGGCATATATCAAGAAAACTAATAGGAAAAGATTGCAAGTTTGGCCAAAATACTGTTCTACGACAAATTGTAAATGCTGAATGGTATGTAAGGAATAACAGAATACATGAAGAGTTAGGGCATTGAGTTAGAGCGCACTCATTATTATAACTTAGCCAAAAAATTTCATGAAAGGCAACAAAATATTGATAATCCCAGTATTAAAATCTGTGATTACGATTATAACAGTTTGGAAAATATAGATAGGCCTATGGCCCAACTGAATGTATGGATCATGTAATATACACATCTAATAATTCGACATATGTGTTTATTTATGTATTTATTTTCATTCCTCTTATCTGCTACACTTCGAATTTTCTTGTCTGCATTCTCACTTTTGTGTATGTTATAGGTATATGTATATAATTTTTCAAGTTCATGTCTTAATTATTTGAATCTCATGTATAAATTATTTGATGTTTCGTATTTGATAATTCTTAATGGATTCAATTTGCCTATGTTTGCACTTGCTCATTCTTGTCACAGTCACAGTTCCTCGACTTTTCTGCTCGTACTAATTTCGACAGCAACTCCATTATTATTAATACGTTAAACAAGTATTCCTGTCTGACCTCAACAAAATTATAAAAAAAAACCTATTCGATTTATCTTTCGGTTATTCTTTACAACCCTGGGCCCACTAGCAGCCGAGCGGTAAAGTTGCTAAACACTGGTAGTTCGGTCCAAGGTTCGAATCCTGCGAACGGGCTAGCTGCATGGGTGTTTTCGTGGTTTTCCCCATGTGTAACGTGTATACGAGCCAGTTTCCCTTAGAAAGTCCTCCACGAAAGGCATTCCTCCCCTTAGGCAGATAGCCCTAGTGTGCTTTGCCATAATTAAATACATCACACCATCTCTACAACCTTTCGAAATGATCATATTGTTCTACAAGGGGTAGAGCTTTGGCTCAGGCCCCTGGAGTCTCAAACACCGTTCTAAAGAGTGCTCTTAATTAGTTTCTGAATTTAGTAACCGCAATTGGATCCGAACTCTCAATGCATTTATGCTATGAACATTCTGCTTGCAGATTACATGTTGGAATTTTTCTAAAAGCGATTTGAGTGAACTGTGATATTCATAACCTGTTGAGAAGAATTTCAACCTATCTTTTCCCGGTTTCCTTGGGCTTTTTAGAGCTGTTTCGCCACTGAATGAGCTCTTACTTATTTTGGTAAACATTCACTCTCTTCTTGATCATCTGGCTTAGTTATTTAAGGAGATTTCTACGAATTCATAGAACGCAGCAATATTAAAATATGTCTCTCAAAATTATTTTCTCGTATAAAATTAAACTAAATAATTTAGCTTTCTGCAGATTAACACAAGTTCGCACACATTCTAACATACATTTTGCTTTTTTTTCTGTGTGTGCTATTTAATTCTATTAGATTCTTTCATCGATTACCATCTTCATTTATGTCTGATTACATTTTCATCTCAAGACAACTGAATGCATAACAAACACATAGTTCGATCTATTTCTGATTTAAAAAATTTGCAGGTGAATTATCTGATCTTCAGTTTGAATAAGAACTCGTTCAGAAAAAGCTATTTAAGTCTTATAACAAATTACTAAATTTCATCATTCATAAAAAAAATGGTAGATATATATATTTCTATCTCTTTTATTACACATTCAAATTTATTTTAATAAAGTTCACCTTTTTCAAATGCAAGTTCCAGCGTGTTTTTCCTGAACTAAGGAATTTACCCGAAAGAAAAAGTAAGCAAAATTTATATTATAAGCATATGTATTCAAAATATGTACGCGTATGTTGTTTATTTAAAATGAGATTTCTATTTTTTATTTAAAATAACAGCTGAGTTTCTGGTAAAAAAATCAGTAATGGCAGCAATTAAAAGACATAAGTATGTCATAATAACAAACACGAATGTTTAAAATATAAAAACTTAAATTAATAACTAAAATTGCGGTTAAAATCCTTTATTTAGAGGGGAGCCGAATTATAGACTTATTTATATTAACAGGCAGAATAACTTGCCTAAGTTAGTTTTTTTAATCTTACTTATCATTCTATTCAGAAATGCGTAAGTTAATACATATATTTATTGATTAGAATGGCATTTTGTTAATTGCTCAAATATCTGAAAACAGACTTCGTCAAGTTTCCTTTTAATTGTACTCAAATACGATAAAAATAATTGAAATATTTTAAATTTGAGTTCTGCACCTAGATGGCGCCAGTAAATATCTTTGGAAATGGATCTTTTAGAAATAGATCTGTTTGTAAACTTCATTCAGCATTTTAATAGAATCCTGTTTGTTCTCTGTTCCTTTTCACGTGATAAAAAATTTTAATTTAAATATTTTTTCTAGTACTTATCTCATTTTGACTATTCATATTTTCTGTTGAGAACTTTACTTGTTTTCTTCTCAGATTTATTCTTTGCAATGTACCTTTATTTTATTACACAGGAAACGGTTTGTGACAATACTACCAACATCGAGAGTAAACCTTAAGATATAAATTTGCTTTCATTTTATCAGCCAATGGATGATTAAATAGCAGAAATCTATTAAGTGCTGTTAAAAATATTAAAGTTAATTGTTTTGTAATGTAGGGGTTTGTGCGCTATAGTCATTCCAATAATCACTGAAAATTTAGTAATTTTAACAACAACAACACGTGCTGATTCAAAATTCATAGACATGATTATTTAATGGAGAAGCATGGATAATGAATGGATTGTTTAAGTTGAGAAGTAAGCAATGGCTGTCTACTCAGGAAATTTTCGTAGAGAATTTGTGAGCGATATTGTCTCATATTTGCTTTACATATGATTAAAAATTCCGAAAAAACTGTATACCCATAGCTGTGAAAATGTATTTGGCACATTTATTATCAGGAATAGATCACTGTGAAAGAAAAACATGTTTAAAATTAAATGTATTTTATTAAATGAACAAATGCGAAAGTTATTGTTATGCCTATACGACTCAATAATTAAAATATATTTGCTACATTCTAAAGTATCATTGTAGCAAATGAGGGCAAAAACTGTAGTTTTGTTGAATATAATATCCTTCAGCGCTAATATTAAACATAAGTCATACGGCCAGTTCCTTCATCGATCAGAAACAGATCCTGGCACGAGTATTCACGTGACAAGAGTAATCAAATGAAGGAGTTCAACATGATAATTAACACAAATCTCGAACAAGCACTACAACTCCCACGTTCAGCACTGAAATTTTTACTACACGCGTTACAAGCTAAGCAGTGTGTTTTGACACGCTTCAACGAAATTGCAATCGTGGAAAATCCTTGCTTATATACGTTATCTATTACATAGATTTTCTTACTATTAAACTACACAAAATATTTTCCCCAGCTATGAGGTATTTCTCCCACTTTCCTAGCATGCCTTCGTGGTGTAGTAATTAGCACAGTGGGCCGGTATCCAGAGGTTCGTGATGCGATTCCTGGCGAAGGTGGTTGCTAATGTTTCATCTTGTATGCTTCCAAAAAGTACCTAATGTATCTACAGTGGCGCCCGAACTAAAAAGGGTGTTGGATGAGGTTTCCCCACACCCAGGATTTGGCGATTGGGTCCCCTAAAAACCCCAGTTGCCCTTTAAAAAGAAGAGTATATAAGATATTTCTCTCGCCTTCCTAGCGTGCATTCGTGCGTAATGTTCTGCGCGTGGGCCGGTATTCCAGAGGCCGTGGTTCGATTCCGCGAAGCGTTGCCCTTTTTCATTTCTCCTGCTTCCAAAAAATACCTAATGTCTCTACACAGCTGTTGCGTAACAATAGCTATTAAGTCACTATTTTTAAAGGACTGCTTTTAAACTAAAATAAGATTTGTACTTCGGCATGTATATTAGACAGGATTAAATATTTTTTTTGAGATCAATCACGGAATTCTTGGAAGGCTTTCTGGCGACTAAAACTATTATTATGAAATTTCATCTTGAAAGGGACATCAGGAGTCATGTTTTCGAGCAAATTTGATTGCATATTTGCTCCCTAAATGCACAAGCGCAAAGGGATTCAAGGGTAAAAAACTCACCGAAATTCTATAAAGGACTGGGGACTTAAAAAAATATTTTATTTAAGATTCTTTCTCACATAGTGATGCTACGCACACGATGGAAAAAGTACACATGATTGAATATTAATGCTCATAGCTTAAAATTTACGGTAATGAACAGTGATAAAATTTTATGAAAGAAAAGGGTTGAAAAAGAATACATTGTGATTTAATTTTTATTTCTTTAAATTTGATTCACCTACCTTCTTGAATACTTTTCCCCAACGCATTCAAGCACAAGCCAGCAAGAAGCAGATACACCAAATGGTATTCCATACTGAAAGTACCTTCTCCAGGAGCAAATGTGTTAGAGCACTTGAAAGAGAAGTGAATGAAGGGTATAATGTTCTCCCTAAAATACAAATAAATCTGAAAACTGGCATCTGGAATGCAACATATGCTGCATTTCTCAAGCCTGGAACTTTCTTTAAAAGTCGGTGTGCTATCAGATTGTGATATTTAGTTTGCACAGTATCGCATTTGAAAAGCAGAGGTTCTGTTTGATTAAGTATTATTTCTTTACAGTTATAAATACATTTCAGGTTCAAAATTGGCTACCTGCTTGTTAATCTAAGTCCGTCGAAATATTTATGTGTTAACCATTCTAGTAAAGATTTATACTCAATGTAAGAAATATGCCAATAGTTTGACATCGATAAAACAATAAATTAATTGAGATATTTAATTTTAAAATTTCGTATTTTTATCATTATTTGGGGCTTTCCTCTAAAGTTAGGTTAAAAAAATTACAATAATTCTAAGTTGAATTTCTTTATTTATCGTCATACAATGATATTTCTTTGTGAGTTACTAATGTATAAGCTTCTCTGATTTATAATTTTATTACATTCGCTGCATTTGAAATATTTTAACACAAGTACTATAAGGTATTTTCTCCCTCCTTTCCGCATGCCTTCATGGTGTAGCGGTAGACCACTCGGCAGTCTAAGGTTCGAATCTCGTCGAGAGTATTGCATATTTTTCATGTACTACTGCTTAATAAAAATCTAATGTCTCTACAGTGACTCTCGAAATAAAAAGATGGTGGTTGATGATTCTTCACCACCAGGATTTAGCGGTTGAGTCCCCTAATCTTCAGCTGCTGTTTAAAATGGGGGAGTATATAAGGTATTTACTTCCTCCTTTCTCCACGCGTTCGTAGTGTAACAGTAGCACACTCGGCGCGTATTCAAAAGATCCAGGTTCGAGTCTTGGTGAAGCCATTGTTCATATTTCACGTCTCCTGCTTCAAAAAATCCTAATGACTCAACAGTGCTTTCTAAGTTTTTAAATGCTAATTTTCAATGGGTTTATATTATTCAAATGCAGCACTTTTACTTTAGAATCATAATCTAATAGTCACATAAAAATTTAACCTAGAAATATTTTTCTTTTAATTTACTGAAATACTGTTATGACTTGCTTGTGTAAAATCCCTAAAGCCTGTCACTATTTTTAAGAAGAGAAATTCTATATCATTTAATAAGATCTAACTATTTTTATACAAATAAAAAAAAATCATTCTACAATTTGTTAACATCATCACAAACTTTAAAATTAAATAATTAAATATCTTGATGAACTATTATGTGTTTATTTTTTGAAATGAATATAAATTTTCACTAGCTATAGATAGCCATGAGAATCGGTGTGAGTATAAAAATTTAAGTGTCTCAATTTTTACAAAATCAATGTTTATATATAAAAATGTCATAATATGAATATTTATCTTTTTTAAAACATTTTTCTATGTAACTGAAAGCGTATACGTAAATGATTGCGAAAACAAAGACAGCATAAGAACTTCTATATATCCTCTCTCTTGCGTGACACAAAAAATTATGTCAATTAAGAATATTTATACGAAAAGCAAAACATTCAAGTGATTTAAAATAGATTTTAAGTGTCAAATAAAGTGCGTTATGTTTGGAATTCCTAAGTCTCTCCTTTCTTAAAAGACTGGCAGACTGTTGTTATCTGTGCAAATAATCGTGAGAATAAAATTTAAACTTTTCTGTAAACTGTATGTAATCCTGATAATGCTTCTATCTGATAATGTTTCTGTAATCCTGATAATGCTTCTATCTGTGAATTCAAACATATAATTAATGGTCTTTCTGTCACATGCGAATACTCCAGGACGTATAACTTATATGAACACATATAGTATAAGTGTATGCATGGAGGAGTGAAATCTTCTGCATGTAACTTTCTGCTACACTTCATCTCAGGAATATTTGTCTGAAAAATATAGGAGAAATCTATAAGCCGTGCTCAAATGAAAAGGAGACAGCTGTAGCGACGTTGTATCAAATTCTAGTAAGTTAATGTGTTATCCAACAGATGGCCTGGTAGTATTTCCAGTTGCAGATGCGTAGTTCGCAACAATATCCTCATTTCTGAAGAGTTGTTTCCTCAGTGCATTGTATTATGAATTCCTCCAGATCAATACAAATAGCACTTATCCAATTTCTTTGCGCAAAAGGTAAGTATGCTTCAGAAATTTATCGCAGGATGAAAGAAGTGTATGGACAGTAGTGTCTCGCACGTGCACCATATTCCGATGGCGTGAGTGTTATGAAACAGAAGGCCTAAACATCCTTATTGTAACACGTCGTTGAGGCACAAGCAGACCATCAAGAATAAGCGCAGGAGTAAGCTCTCGACTGAGATAATGAGCTCTAAGATAAGTCACCTACGATGTGACCAAGACTATCCTGAACTCCTTGACAGTTTTCATGTGAAGTCATGCGACTTCTTCTTTACAGCCTTAGCATCTCCCCGGGATCCATCAGAAACTCAGGAGTATTTGCAGTGGAGACAGCTACTCCTTTCCTAGGCTCTGGGATCAGTGTATCAATATCAAAGGTAATTACTTACAGTTATATTGTTGCACATGAACTGTAATTATAATATTATTACTATAATTTCTTCACGTGTAATTGTAGACTATTTTTCATTTGGCCACATCTTATATAAGCATATTAGGGAAATATTCTCGTGTTTTCACTTTAGATGTTTATACCTAAATTGCCTTTTTGAGTCTCAATCGTGTGCGTCTAGGAAAGAACCTCTTTGAAATGTATCATTCTTTACTTTTCGTACGACACTATTTGTAACAATATTGTTGCGTGCGTGTGATTTTGTAATAGATTGAATGCACATAGGTCCGATGATATGTTAAGAAACTTTATTTCATCAAAGTAAGCACTTGAATTTTCTTGAATTTTCCAGAGAAATTCTCGTACACAGTATTACACAGTACAATCAGCACTTACACTTCAAACTACTAAGAACGTTAGACACAAAGCAATGCAAAGTGCATCTAAAGAGAAAGCTAATTCGAATATACCTCAGTTCACGCGGAATTAACAAATCGCAACAACAATAACTAAGCAACTGAGAGCAGATGTTCTTTCTTCGGCCTTAAATAGTTTTCAACCTGCCTCCGAGATATTTCTAGTGCTTTCAGCTTCTCGAATGAAAGGAACATCCAGAATACGGGATCTTGAAAGTATCAGAAGCCATCGGAAGGCCTTTCAAGCATTCAATTTGAACTTCTGGTACAGGACGCTGTTTTGAATATGTAGTGTGTTCCAGAGAACGGAATGTTGTTTTGTCGTCTCACTATACATCAAAATATCCTGCCAGGCGAGTTTCCTGTTTGAAGACTCCATTAATTAAATTATCGGTCTTATTTCCTGACTTCTTCGTTACTCCGTTGGTCTCGATCAGTCGATGTAGAAATTGTAACTTGCCGTGCGACCAGATTCAGTAACTCGTATTCCGATGCTGTATTCAAAAGCTCTTTCCAATTATTATGACGTCCTCCAGGTATACCAGAGAGGTTTCGTAGGGAAGACCTTTCAAAACAGTTTCATGAGGCGTTCGAATATTGCCGGCGCATTACAGAGTCCAAACGGTATCACCTTGAACTGTCAAAGTCATTTTCTGTTTCTTTTGTGTCGTCTTTTCCCTGCTGTCAGGATGCAACTCTACCTGCCAATATCCAAAATCAAGCGTCGAAAATTATTCGCTTTCAAAAAAAGTGTCTAGAATGTCGTCAATTCTAGGAAGAGGGTAGCTGTCTTTCTTCGCAACTTCCCCGGTATCGATTCTATGCTGTGTCAAACTACTAGTTCGACCTACGTCAGAAGGCGAAAGGGGAGAACATCTTGAAATTCATGAATGATAGGTTTGGCAGAACTTCCTCTCTTCATCGCATATTATGTATTCTGCAGTAACTGTGATATATTGCTCTCTGAAGACACAGATTCTGGAGGATTACTGTTTCGTTTAACGCTTGTCACTGGAATACATGCTGCAACCATTTCACCTTTCCTAATAACTCTCGCCTTGTCAGTTACATTGACATCTCTCAACGGGATAACTATCTTCGATGAGTCGACGAGTGCCAAGGCTGCTAGTACTCCTCGCGCGGTGTAGAAGCTTTGGAATATTCCAATACATCATACCGGAAATTTCTGTTTTCAACTATAAATCCAGGAAGTAGAAATTCTGTTCTTGTCGGTGTTGTGATATCGTCTTTAGCTATGATTTCGTGGACAGATTTAATTCATTCATCATTAATTATGAATAGGGCTATGTCCTCAGAGGCAGAATGCAGTTCGTTATGTTTAGAATCCTATTAAAAATTATATTCCTTAGAAGTCCAATCTGAGCATGCAAAGATTTATAATCTCTGCCACATATGCCGTGTGATGGTAGATGGCACTTCCAAACTTGATGTTAACGTTTAATTTTCCATCAATGTCGATCTTCTCGCAGGACACAGTCTGCAGGGTAGTAGTAGTAGTAGTAGTAACGGAGGATGTGGGCACCATCCCTCTACCATTACGGTTAATCGGTTCTTCCCACGTCCGCCCTTATCTAGTATTTATTAATAAAAAAGGTTTTTACATTGCCAATAATGTGCCATATATGCCATATAAAAAAATAAATAAAATAAAAACTTAAAGTAGTACTTATAGTCCTTCATGAAGTGTATCTTTGTAACTAATTCTTTATAAAATGTCGAAATTTGTCCTTAGTAAAAAACGTTTGAAACTTATTCCCTCGTTCTTCTTCAAGAAGTTCTCTTTCGTTTTTCTTCTTTTCTTCGTTCTTCTCTTTCCTTTAATCTTCCTTTCATTTAATCTTCGTTAAATCTTCCTTTCTTCTATCTTAATTTCTTTCCTCCATTTTTACATGTATTTTCTTCCTATATATCCTATATCTATTTACTATAGTGAGTATATCTATAGTGAATAAGAAATCCATCTTTATGAATTACTTGTTAACATATTCTTTCCACCTTCTACAGAAAAATTTTCTTTTTATTTTTAAAACCTTTATTT